GAATTCTTAAAAGCTAAAAAAATTAAAAATTAAAATTTTTAAATAAAAAAATTATAAAATTAACATATTTATTTACACGTTTACTTCGGCCCAAAAGTAAAAGTAGTGACGAATTCTTAAAAGCTAAGAACTACAAATGGCCCAACTTTGAAAGCGAAAGACACTTTTTTATTTTTTTGGTCGTTAGGTAAAAAAGACTGTTTGATTGGGCCAAGAAAAGCCGAGTCCGGTTGTTTGAACTTTGAAGAAAGAAAATGAATACAATCTGGGTGTTTTGTTCAGACCATGAGGCCCAGATGAACTGCAAATCTTTTGGGTCAACTTCAAGCTAATTGCCATAGCCTAATTATTATTTATTATTACTTTTGGTATTTTACACGTTGACCCCAAGGAATAGTGTCTTTATAAATGACAATGAAAAATTATTTCCGCAGTTTATACTGTATTTAATTGTATAATAATAATTATTAGATGAGAAGTAAATTTTTTCATGTTAAAAGTTATTTTTTTAATTAGTTATTTTTCTTTTATAATTTAAACTGTAAAATAAAAAATTTAAGACTTAATATCTTTTTTTTAATAACGGGAAAAATAAATATAAAATCAACATTTAAATGTCTTTAAAACAAAAAAATTAAATCATACGAGCTTTTATTTAATGGTTATTATTAGCGTGTTGAGGGCATAATCACAAAATTTGATTTTAAATATAGATAAATAAATTCACATGAAATCATGAAAATAAATATGAAATAACAACCAGGCCAAGTGTCTAATTTTTGTATGGCATTAGAGTCCAATCTCCATTTTTAAGAACCTCGAAATTTCATAATAGTTTAGATTTACATGAGGAAAAGGCCTATCAAATTCGTTTGTTAACTTGAGATTTACATGACAGGTTGGATCTCAAGGCCTCTTAAGTTGGTGTATAAGTTAAATATAAAAAATGGTATTTCAATATTATTATTATTAATTAACTTTAAATTAGATATAAATTTTATATTAAAATTAACACCTTTAATTTTTATATAAAATGTAGCTTCTATAATTATAGACAGCTTTGTTTTTGTTTTTATTATTATTATTTTGTTTAAATGGTTCTAAGGTGTTTTTAAATAAGCTTTTACGCATAAGTACGTCCATTTGATATATTTAAAAAAATTAATTTTTTAAATTACTCATATTTAAACTTAACTTACAATACAATATTTATAATTATTTTATAAGTGGAGCAAGCTTGGTCTCATAACTGCATATGGTTGCTCAATAAGGAGTATTCATTTTGCTGGTGGGTTATGATTATGGCATTGAAAATTAATTGATCTCCTTCTTCATTGCGGTCTTATGTAATATTTTCAGAATCCACTGTAGTTTATTGTAACCTTCCATTTTTCTGCCATTGAAATCAAAAGTATGTCTTCTCCTCCAAATTTTTACTTGTTATAGTTTCAACAGTAATAGATTATAAAATAAATATTATTAAATAAAAAAATTCTCAATATTAAAAATTTAACGTTCATTCAATAATTAATATTATACAATTAGTTATAATTTCGATTGGATATCCCAAAAAACCCACATTTTCTATTGGTTTGTCGGTTAATGGGTTGGGCTCAATATCAATTTGGATTGTTATTTATGGGCTGACATTTATGGATGGGTAAGGGTAACATGGGTTGATCTGACCCACTCTACGTTAATACCTGTGCTGATACAGGATTAGAGTAGCCGTCCCTTAGAGTACAGTAATTCAGCAACCAAACAGAGTCCCTGACGCGCACAGTACGGACTGCACAAAAACGTTCCTATCCTCTGGACCACTCTCATCTGAACTCTCCACTCTCCAGTGCTCCTTCATCGTCCCTTTGACGTTGACGAGCCAAGACAAAAACCATAACCGTTATTTCTGAAGCTTCAAAAATGGCGCCGCCGTTCTCTTCCGCAACTCTGGTGTGGTCCACTCTCGAGCCCAAGCTGAACTCTCCGAAATCCCTCTTCTCCATCTCAGGTGTGCAAGCTTCATTCTCGCTATGCATTTGCTTAATTCGTTCACCTTTTTGGTTTTAGGAGGCAGCATTTTAACGAGATAGTTTATCGCAGAGACTTACCGCGGAGGAGTCGACTCCTTGAACTCTGCTTCCAGCAGTGTTAATGTGTCTGCCTGGGGCGCTGCTGCCAACTACGCCGGGCTTCGAGGTGGTACCGTCAAATTCTCCCTCAAACCTGTCACCTGCGAACGGTTTCTGCATAATAGGTGAGTTGGCCAGCTGCGGTTTTGTTTGTGTTTGAAAAAATGCGACGGAGAAATTCAAGATGGAATTGCTGATTCGTTTGCTATTTATCCATCTGATTTAATTGATGTTTGTGGCTTTGGGGTTTGCAGAGTTGGAGTCGTGAGGTGTGCGACTATTGAAGAAATCCAAGTAGAGAAATCTTTGATAGAGAAAGATGTTGTATGTGTGTCATCATGTTTTTAGAATTTGTTTGCCTTGAAATGATTCTAAATAGGGCCTGGTAATTATGAATTCATTAACATGATGAATTCATTGTTGGGTGTGCTTAGAAGGCAAGAATGGAGAAGACAATTGAGTCAGTTCGGAGGAATTTTAATTCCATAAGGACAGGGAGAGCGAATCCAGCCATCTTAGATAAGATTGAAGTATGACTGTTTGCTCTGGTGGTTATTTGGATTTATTATTATTATTATATATATATATTTATATATATAATATTTTTTTCTGGGCGTAACAAGATGTTATTTTAGGTGGAATATTATGCAAATCCAGTCAGCTTGAAGAGCATTGCTCAAATCAGTACACCTGATGCAAGTTCTCTCTTGGTTCAGCCTTATGACAAATCCAGGTATTCCATAAACCAGAGGAGATGAATTGTGCATTGGGGTTTAAGATTGTGAGCTTTTAGGAATTATAATAAATTTGTACAAGATAAAAGTATGGGGTGAATCTTTTGGAGAATATTATCTTTTCATCCATTGGAGCAGAGGTGCATGTTTCCAACAATGTTCAGCTGTGTAGATTTGCTATGTTGTATTTTCAAGACTTCCTCCAAGGTTTTTTTTAACTGTTTGATTTTGTTTTATTTTTTTTTAACCTTCTCTTTCTGTTTGTTTTTGTGATGCTTTGACATGTTATGATTTTAGGTTAAAGGCTATAGAGAAAGCCATAGTCAAATCTTATCTGGGTTTCACTGCAAATAATGATGGTGAAGTCATACGACTGTCTCTACCTCAGCTGACAACTGAAGGAAGGAAGGTATATTGATTTTTTATCTCTTCATAGGAACTATAACACCCCCATACTTCCCTACTTAATGCAAAATGGCTGTGCTATTTTCTTGTGTGTTTTGTATGAGGGGCTTCGTCTCTGCTTCTCATTCTAAGTACACATGCAGAGATGTATTGATATTCTTTTGTTAAACTGTAGACAAAGTTTTTGTATAATGTTAAGGAGCATAATGGAAAGTAGAAAATAATGTTTGTTATCCTAACAAGAGTGTTAGGAACAGATTGTTTTGTTTGACAGATGGTATTACTTACATTAGTGGTAGAATGAATTTACTACTCTTTCTGGAGATTGTATTTTATCAAGATGAATGCTAGTAAATGATTTTCCTTAACCATGTTCGTACAAAGTTTGATTATGGGTTTGTTTAACCAACATAATTGCAGCAATTGTCCAGAGTTGTTGCAAAACAGGCTGAAGAAGGAAAGGTACAATGCTGATATTGACATGCACATTTCTCAAGCCTCACTTTTTGTTAAGTATGTTGATATATATGTTCTTAGGATTTTTTGATCTGTCTACCTCAGTTCAAGACATGCTAACATTACAAATTATTCAGAAAAATGTGTTTTTGGTAAGTGCCAAACTTCTAGCAATTGGGTTTCTTGGTCAAAGAACTTCAAATTACCTTGAAAAACAGAACAAAAGGTTAATGTCTCATAACCATTTCAAATGCATTTAGATTAGCTGCTATGAAATTCTGTCTGGGTACCCTAGAATTTACCCAAATGCAATTCTGGAAATGCCTTTGTTGGATTATTCAGCATTTTTGGTTCTAGAATAAATGAAGGCCACTCATCCTGCCTTCCAGAATAATCTTGGTTGATGAACTATTTTGTAGGTAGCACTGAGGAACATAAGAAGAGATGGCATAAAAGCCTATGAAAAACTTGAGAAGGCTAGTATCCTTGCATATCCGCTTCCCCTTTCTTTATTTTCTTTCTTTCTGTTAGTTATTTCTTCTAGGTGAATAACATTTTTCTCTTATTTACTTATGTTTTCTTTCTCAATCTTTATTCCATTCATTTTCTCGATCAGGAGAAAAAGCTTTCTGAAGACATTTTTAAGGATCTATCAAGTGATTTGCAGGTATGACGCTTGTCTGTTCACCTCTGCTATAGAGTCTGAGAATTGAGGGTTGTTTTGATTTGTTCCTTAAATTCGGGTGTTCCATTTTCTGGGTACTTTTGATGTAGTAACAAAATCAAGGGAGGTTTTGTGTCTTCTTCCTTAAGCTAGAACCAAAAGTGGAATATTCTTGGTGATTATTAAACTAGTTTCTACTAAGCATATATGCCACTACTGAGGTGATATCGTTGTTTTGACTTGTTCCTTAAATTTGGGTGTTCCATTTTCTGGGTACTTTTGATGTTGTAACAAAATCAAGGGAGGTTTTGTGTCTTCTTCCTTAAGCTAGAACCAAAAGTGGATTATTCTTGGTGATTATTAAACTAGTTTCTACTGAAGCATATATGCCACTACTGAGGTGATATCTAGATGAATTGGGTACTTTAACTACTTGGAATAAATATGTTTGTCCTAAACAGGAAGAGTATTGTGATGTTATGGATGGACCATTGCAACAATTAGATTATGGCAACCATTTGGAATTGATTTCATTTATCATGTACAAACCACAATTGGATCCTTGATAACACTGCTGATACCTCCTGGCCTCATACAGAACAGTAATTCTTATTTTTGTTAATCTTCTTCTCCACCAATAATTTTTGTTCTCTCTGTTTTGTAGTTTTACTCTAAATCTCTGGTTGTACATATGCAAATCAACATGGTTTTATTTTTCCTTTCTCCATGAGCTCAAATTGGCAAAATATTTTCTTCTTGCAGAAACTGACGGATGAGTATATCAAGAAGATTGATACCCTCTACAAGCAGAAAGCGAAGGTATGAATGCCTTGAAGAAGTGTGTGGTGATTATCTTTTTACTATTCTTTAGTGTTATCCAAATTTTTTCTGGTTATGGAAGAATTTCAATGTTTCACATGAATTAATCACAAATGCAAAGATGGATGGAGCTCTGTGGATCTTGTGCTGGAGAATTCCATCACTATAATAACGGTCTACACTAAGCTTGTCTTACAGATATTTAGACAGTTTCATTCCACCCATATGGTATTCATTTCTAAGATATTATTTAGAGAAGAGATTTCTTCAATTTGAAGTACTGCCGGACATGTACATGGAAATGTTTAACATAAATAGAGAGGGAAACACAACGTCCGCGGATTCTTCCCCCTTTTAGGGTCTGGTGGCAGGTGTACCTACAGGGCCTTCGTTACCTTTTACATTAATTAATGGAATGGTTAAATTTTATTGCTACCAACTGACAGGGGCATTGTGACATCCCTGACATGAGAAAGGTGCTACTTTCCCACACTCAGCATATTAGAAAATTTTGCTGTTGGCAGATGAAATTGTATCGGCTCATAACCGATATCATGAGAAAAGGTTGACGGTCTTTTGTCTCTGTTCAATCTATGCAAGAGCCTCATAGTTGATTTTGCTGACCACCACATTTAATTGTGTAAAAGAATTAAGCTGTTTGTAATTTGTATACAAGTTTTAGCTGCAGTTACACGAATTCTCATGTTAATATTCTCCTTATCTTTGATTAAATGCTTCATGTTATTGATTGATGTTTAACAGATACCAATCATGCATTTTGTATTTCAGGAGTTGCTGAAGGTCTAAATGACAGTTTGTCCAGACATGTAAAGATTGGGCTTCCTTCCTCATTAAAACAAGCAATTTTGCCTGCCTTTTCTTTTTGGTGTGGGGGACACAGATTCTGTTGTATGGCATCTTTACCTGCAAAAGGTGCTTTAAAACTCAGTTGAAATGGAAAGAATTTTTTGCGTTGGAATTGGCCATGAAAATCAGTATCAATTAAGAACCTTTTTTATTTTTTGTTTGGGTGGGGAAATGTATGTGACTTTATAGTTTATATTTAATATGGGCCAGCCTTGGAAACAATTTGAGCCAGGAGTGCAGGTTATGCGCTTTGGGCCCAAAGGGTTTATATTCTTATTACATCTCATTATGAACCATATCGGCATATACTAATAAAGTATGATATTTCAGGATAAAATAATAATAATAATAATAATAAAGTATGATATTTCGTGAATCTTTTTACATCTATCCTTTTATTGGGCGACTGAGGTCAGTAGTGTTGCTGAGATCCCACTCATTGCAAGTTTTTACTTTTTTTAAATAAAAAAAATAGCAAGTTGTAAAATTAATAGATATTAATTTTTTTTTAACGGGTTTACATTTTGTGGAGAGGAGATTTGAACTCTAATCTTTGGATTAAGAGTGCACTTTATTACAAAGCATGTAACTATTGGGTCACGAAACTCAAAAACAATTAATAGGTATTAATTTAATTAAACTCTTTATTAATTTTTTATATGTGTAATAAGACATGAATCCAATAACTTTAATTTAAAATTTTCAGACTTAAAAAATTGTGACATTTGATAAGTAAAATGGTAAATTTCACTATTAACAACTTTTAGTCATCCCAAGATATCCGGTCTCTCTCTCTCTATATATATATATATAAGATTTTATTAATTACTACATACATGCAAAAAAAATTTTTAAACTAACACAACTTGAAACAACCACATTTTTGTATTTTTTAAATAATTATCAAGTATATAACTTTTTAAAAAGTAGTTAATAAATACTTACATAATTTTTTAGTAAAATCTCATAGAATACATTTTTAAATAATAACTTTTAAAAATTGAGTCTTATTATAAAAAATATTTTTTTAATTAAAAAATTTTAAAAAGCTGTTTCATTTTCTTTATAAAGTCTCTAATTTTTATGAAACTGCCACAATCCCAATAGTACACAATAACACACCCTTACTCTCTCAGCCTTACATGTGATTTTCGTGTTAAATTTAACGTGATTTGGTTCCACGCAATTAGTTGGTGCCACTGCATTTTTCTCTATTGTGTCTCTTACGACTCAAGGAACGTCCAAAGAATTAAGACCTAATTTGAAAGGATTGAAAAAAAATAAAAAAGAAGAAAACAATTACGTAATTAATCTTTTAATTACAAAAAAAAAAAAAAAAAAACCCGAGCGGAAACAGAGATGCATTTTCTCTTTGAACAATTGGTGAACTATATACTAATAACATGTTAGTTCGAGTATAAAAAATTCAATTTTCCTTAAATAAAATTTTAAATTTAAATCTTATAAATGAAGATTAAATACTAATATTTAAAACATTAAATACTAATATTTCAATTTTACCTTTATCTCAAAATATAGAGAAATGCATTATTTCCTCCTTCTCAAAATAACTAAAATGACCTAAGTCAAAACTTATCATTCGTCTAACAACATTTTGGGTTAAGATCTAAATGCTCTTAAGAACTTAAACTCGAGTGACAAAACTAATTATGAGCATGCAAGACAGCAAGTGCTCAAATCCTACAAAAATCACTTGAGAGTTTTTCCTTGATATGTGATATTCCTAAATAAATCTCATGTTGACAAATCACGCTAAGTTTTGAAAGGGGATGTATGTGACATCTTTAGAGAAATCTCATGTTAATAAAATATAGAAGAAATGTTGGGTATATAAGTTAATATTGTTAACTCTTATTGATGCATTTTAAGATTGTGAGATCTGAAGGGTGAAAACGGATAATATCAATAGTTGTTTAAGTTATTACATATGGTATTATAGCTGCCTCACGTGACTTTTAAAAGCAAATCTCACATCGAACAAAGCATACGGGAGATTCTAACTATATAAGTTAACACTTGTTAATCCTTACTAACATATTTCAAAATCACGAAACCCAACGTTCAAATGTTGGGATGAGTTGTTACAATAATTTTGTCTCAGAATAATATATATTTTTTAATTTAAAATTTATTTTAAAATAATAGTTATTTTTTTATATTC